CACTCTAAAATAGTGTTTTAGTTCTACTCTTTTTTTTGTTTTTTTTGTTTTAGAAGTTCATGTACATAAATCAAATAAACTTGAAAGTTAGAGATTAAAATAGACATTGAGCCATATGATTTTCTCAATAAATATATTTGTGATTTAAATATTTTGATTTTGAGTGTGAAGATTATATATAAATTAATAGTAATTAGTTCATAGCCTCATATATTGTTGGGTTATGGAGCATAATTATCGTATAAATCCCTTAAGTCATGTACACTCCGGGGAAAGCTCAAAATCAAGCCTATAATGAAAATAGGGAAGGGTAAATTTGATGCCTATATAATCATAAACAAGCTTTTTGAGAGAATTACATCTTAAAATATGTGAGAATGGATCAACCCTCACATCTTGAGGTTTACTTGAACTTTTAGTATGTGATTTTAAAAATAGTCATACAATGTATGGAATTCGAATAGGGTGAAAAATTATAAAAAAAAAGAAAAAAAATTAAAGAAAAGGAAATCAAATAAGTTTTCGTGAGCCACTACAATAAATATGATCTTCAACGACAGGTATGTAATTTATTCTATTGGACATGTTAGCAGATTTAAACCAAACTAGATACATAAACTATAATAAAACGGTCAAAATTATTTGGACCAAATTAAAATCTTAAAACAAGTGTTCGGATTTTAAAAAAGCTATAATAGGAGCTGGGCTTGCTTAAATTTCCCTCAAAATTCTTTCAGAGAGACCAACAAAAAAAACTTTTACATATATGCCTCAAAGTAAATTGAAATTTTAAAATATTTAATAGCACAATGAAATATGATTAAAAAAAGAAAAGAAGACACTATGGATCCGTTGGGTAACGTTCCCGTTTCTTGTTTCTTGTTTCTAATTCACAATTGTATAGAAATTTTGAAACAATCAAAACAAGTTTCTCCTTTCTTGTTTCTATTTTGAAATTTAAAATTGACTCAGAGATATTATTGGACCTAATCACAAACTTTATTTACAAATTTATTATTATTTTCGTTTAAGAAATGGAGAAAAATCTAAAATCATTTCATTTTCTACCCTTTAGAGAAATAAACTATATAAAAATGTCTATAGAATCGAATATAACGTGGAGTCTAATGCCAAGCTTTGGATAAAATTACAAATTTATTGTTATTTTATTTTCTAACTTCATCCTTTAATCAAAGAAGATAAACCTTTTTTTTTTTTTTTTGTTCTCTTCTTCTTCTTCTAGAAGAAACCAAAAAAGATAAAACTTTTAATTTAAGTTAAGTTTTATTTCTCAGCATCGTGATATCATTGAATCTCTGTCATCGTCGTGGGTGCTATTCGACAAGTCTGGTCCCACAATCTCCGGCAAGAGCTGGCCATTCTCCACGACTCTCTCTCCCGCTTTCCGGTGGTCGCCTTCGACACTGAGTTCCCGGGGTTCCTCCGATCCACCTGGAGAGGAGCTCCGGCGGAAGAATCCTACCAAGATCTCAAGTTCAATGTGGACGATTCGATTTCCAAAAACACAGGACTCACGGAATCCCATCTGTCGAGTTCCGACTCCGGTTCCATCCCATATGCTATAGTGGTCGGATCTCCAAATGGGTCACCTTCCACGGCTTCTACGATGTCGGTTACCTGCTCAACCTACTCATCATCAAAATCATGCAGGAATCCATGTCCCGCTTCGCTGTTGAATGCTGATCATAGTAGATTTGATGATTTCACAGTGGTCTCTAGTTTTCTTTTTTTAATTAATCATGTTTCAATTGTGCCATTGAGGATTTTAAAAGCTGAATCTACTATGAAGGATGTACATAGAATGTTGTAGAGTGAGATTGAATTGGATTCTCTAATATGGTGTCATTTAAGACCCTTCTTGGTATGTTTCTAGTTATGACAGAAAAATGTACGAGAAATATGAGTAGGTCTTGTTTTTTGTTACTCATACAGCTTCGAGAGAATACAAATACATGTTGATTTTAATTCGTTCGTAGGTAAGTTGTTTGGTTAGATCTTTGTTATACGAAAGTGTATTAGAGTGATATAAATAAGGTAGAATAAAGCAATAATACAAAAAAATAGATTATAAATTTTTGACAATAAAAGAGAGTTTGATAGAAAAATAAGTGAATCTTGTGGTACGTGATATATACCTCCAAGTAATTATAACTTAAATCACTTTGCCTAAAAAATACTTGATCTAAAATTACTCCCATACATCTCTTTTGGAAAAAATGAAAGAAAATTACTCATACATTGTCCTAAAATTATTTTTTTAATCTTTTTTTTTTTATATATATAGTTCAACTACACAGGGGAGTGGAGATTCAAACCTTTAGCTAATAAACGAGTTGATCAACTAACTATATATATTTTACATGACAATTAACTTTTTATTCTTACACCAAATAAATTTATTTTTATTATCTTCTAATCGTGTTTATGTAGAAAGACTAATATATCAAATAATGGCGTAAAGATATTAAATTAAGTGTATTTATGATTTCAAATAAATTAAATGTGATGGAAAGCATGGTTAGGATTATTTTGGAATCAACCATTCATAGTCAAATCTATATATTCTATTGAAAGTAGAAGACCATGGCTTATAATATATCTTTATCAATTAACTATATGAAAAAGAAAACTTTAGGCTATAATTTAATGCCATTAGTTTATGTATAAATGATGTTCACACTTAAGAAAAAAAGAAGCAAACTATTGAAATAACAAATATATTTATTGAGAAAAATAAATGGTTAACTCATGGTTTATATTTTCAGTTTTAAATTCTATTTATGTCTTTCAACTTTTATGAAGTGAATTTTAGTAAAATTTACTATGTTTTGGTAGAAAAACTTTCAAAATAATGATTTTGGTTAACAAATGGATAAGGTAAATTCGAATATAACGTATTGATATGGGTATATATAAGAGTTGTGTAGGTTAATTGAGTGCAGTATTGATTAAGATATCATGTTATATAATAATAGAAAGAATTAAAATGATTAAATGAAGGGGAAAGTATTATGAAAAATTAGTCATCAAAATGGACTTATTTTTATAATAATTATTTTTTTAATAAAAATTTTGGACTAAAATAGGTATTTATTAAAATTCAGACGAAAATAAAATTTAAACTTTTTTCGCTCTCTAAATTGAAATTATTTTAAATATATAATTTTAGTTTTTTAGCTTTTAATTTTATTGAATATATATATATAACCTTTGTAATTACTTATTTTTTGGAGTAAAGCAGTTTCTCAAAATTATGGAAACTCACTTGTGTAATAAGCAACTTTTTTTAAAAAATTACATAAACATTTTTTAAATTAAAATCTCTATTCATGGGTTTTTAATTACTCTTTGTAATAGGAAGAAATTTCCTAAAATTTAATGTTTTTTCTAAAGTGGGAGCTGATTTGGAAGTAAAAATATGCTCTTTAATTATCTTCGTGGACCTATTTATTAATGAGCATGACTTTTATTAAAAGAAATGTTCCTTATTTCACACGGTTGTTCACCTTTAATACTGTCTTATAACTAAAAAAAATGAAAAAAAATGCTGTTTTATAAGATTTATTTTTAATTGATAAATTGTTAGTGTTAGTTAATTGTTTTTATTTAACAAATCAATATAAAGTTATCTATTTTGTTAAAAGTAAGATAAATGTAAAGATAAAAATGATGATTAGTAATGTACAAAAAAATGATTAATTTTGCTTTTATGATTTACAACCTAGTCTAGTCCTTTTCACAAATCGCTTTTATTCTTCCACTTCTTTTTTAATTCAACAATATATAGAATAGTGACTTTTTGATCATAAATATTTATCTTGATCAATTGAATTATGTTCAAGTTACCAGAGCCTTTATTCACATAATGGTTTGGATAAGAAGTTAGGTTAATAACCCTGGTTAAATTTTTATTAATCGTTTAATAAAAAATTTAAATTTGTCGTGAAAAGTCAACTAATATTATTTTAGTAGTATTGAACATAATGTAATCGACTAAGTAGAAAACACCTGCTCATTTTTTTACGTAAATTAAAAAACGTCATTCATTCAATATGGTAATTAAGTTGAAAGGTTGGACTAAACTACCAAAACCAAATTGAAACTTGTAGAACAACGAAACCAAACTGAAACTTTTACAACTATAAATAGCAAATCAAGACTATGTCCTATCCTATCATAAGGACCAAATTGAAACTTCAATGTTTGAAAATGTATATCATACATATGTAAAACTGTACCCAAACTATAGAGGCTAAGTTGAATTTGCAACCTTAGAAAAGATAAAAGTGAAACCAATGACAAATGCTTGAGAAAATTTTCATATACTACCACTACTCTCATTTAAAAATGGCAACATCATAAAAAAAAATAAAATAAAAAAGTGGGATCCAACAACATCAAAGATTTATTTAAAAAGAAAAATTCATAATTTAAATATAGGGAATAAGTACCGAAATATTTCTCAAATTGTCACACATGCAACTACAAATATATGTCAACATGATCATAGCTCACAGTAAATGATATCTACTCCTTCATTAAAGGTCAGAGGTCTAAATCTCTATACCCTCAATGTGACATGTTAGTCGAGGATATACGCTGATTATGTAGTATTTGGATTGAGGCTCCAATATCAAATACTTCGACGAACAGCTACACAAGATCTTGTGTGGTATTAAACCCAACACACTCTAACACCTAAGTCAGATCTGGTTCGACTAAGTGGTCCAGTTCTAGTTTGGTGAAGAAGTTCCAACCTAGTCGAGTATAGTATAATCTAGTCGGGTGGTCTCGCTTGATCGAGTCAAGTTTGGTATGGTCAGGTGGTCTTGTCCTGATCGAGGCTCAACCCTCACTTCCATTGCATCAATTTTCACCTCTAACATATACATTAACCAACTGAATTAGGTTATATTATATATATATATATATATTTATTTATTTATTTATTTATTTATTGAAGAGGTCGTATAGTTTTGGGAAGAAAAAGAGGAAGCTAGAAACGTGAAGGGGGAGAAGGCGACAGCATAAGAAATTGCAATCCTCCATTATTGGCCCTCTCAATCTCCGAACAAACTCCATTCTTCTGCCTCTCAGTTGAAGGCTTTCAAGGCTTGAAGCTCCAAAAATGGAACTGGTTCCATACTCTGACCCACCTTCCCGTTCAAATTCCTCAAACCCTCCATGGCAGGACATGTTCAGATCTGCCTCAGTCCGCAAGCCCAGCCCCGACCCTCAGAAACCCAAATCTCCGCTTACCTCCGATTCCGATCCCATGTCCTCCTTCTCCGGCGATCCCCATGTCCGCCTCGCCCTCTACATCGCCATGGCCCACGCCGGCCTCGCCTTCGCCATCCTCATTCTCTACGCCGTCGGCCGCCTCCTCGAGTCCTACCTCCGCCCCCTCCAGTGGGCCGTCCTCTGCTCCATCCCTCTCCGAGGCATTCAGCAAACCCTTGAAGGGTTCTGGTCCGAACCCCTTCAAATGGGCCTCACCGAGACCCTTCTCGCCATCCCCGTCGCCTTTTTTCAGGTCTTCGTCGGAACCCTCGTTCAAATTCGCGAAGTTTGCTACCGGGTCGTTCTCAGAAGGAAGAAATTAGGGCATATCAGGCGGAATCAGAGTGTGTTTTCTAAATTGTTGCGATGGCTCGTGTCTTTCTGGATTTTTATCCTTGCTTACGAGAACCTTGGTGTTATTGGGTCTGTTTTGCTTCTTGGATTTGGGTTCTTGTTTAGTTCTAAGTCTGTAGGTTCCACTGTTCATTCGTTTCGTAGCTTGAGCTTTCGTCGTACGGCTGTTAGTACCTTTTTCACGAAGAGGGTTTTGGAAAGATTGAAAACCATTGTTGCAATTGGATTGATTGTTGCAATGATTGTTGGGTTTTTGGCTGGATTGGTGTTCTTCTCTTACAAGATTGGGGTTGAGGGGAAAGATGCTATGATTTCATTGAAACTTCATGTGGAGGAGAGCAATTATGCGGAGAGGATTGGGGTTAAGAAGTGGATGGAAGAGAATGATTTGCCTGGGATGATTGATAGTTACACCACCAAGTTTTATGAAGCAGTTTCAGAGCAGATCGATAGCTTGGCTATGCAGTACAACATGACAGAGTTTGTCACTGGGATTAAGCACTTGGCTTTGTCATCGTCCCGAGCCAACTCTTCGGGCCCTTCAACCTCGCTAATGACTCCATCGCCGTATACGCATAAGCTTATGAGCTTGAGGAACCGGATAAGTAACAAGGAATGGGGTCAGATTTATACAGAGCTGGATGATATTATTAGGGAGTTGATAATCACTAGGGAGGATTTAGTTGAGAAAGCAAAAGGATTAGCCGTCCAAGGGATGGATATTTCGCAACGAGTCTTTGCTAGTAGTGTATCGGTTCTAGGAGGCAGTGCGAAGCTTATGTTTTCGATTGGAAGTTCTATCATTTCGGGAGCGGCTGAGATTTTCAACTTTCTCTCTCAATCAATGGTGTTCTTTTGGGTTCTGTATTATCTCATCACTTCGGAATCTGGTGGTGTGACTGAACAAGTAATGCATATGCTTCCAATTAAAGATTCAGCCCGAATTCGATGCGTTGAAGTTCTTGACAATGCTATATCAGGTGTTCTTTTGGCTACAGCAGAGATTGCAATCTATCAAGGATGTCTTACATGGCTTTTGCTTAGACTATTTGAAATACACTTCTTGTATATGTCCACTGTTCTTGCATTGATCAGTCCACTTTTCCCAATTTTTCCTTCTTGGTTTGCAACAATTCCAGCTGCCTTGCAGCTACTGCTGGAAGGTAGATATGTAGTAGCCATCTGTTTGTCTATTATTCACCTCGCGCTTATGGATTATGGCACCTCGGAAATTAAAGACGACCTACCTGGCCACAGTGAATACCTTATGGGTCTTAGCATCATTGGTGGAATGACATTGTTTTCATCTGCATTGGAGGTGCGCTTTCTTTTCTTTTCTAAGACATTATTATGTTTGCCACACATTTTGGCTCGGAGAAATCATTGATGCTTAATGAGTGTGATCATTTAGTGTCCAAACTAGCTAATATAGGTTCTTTAAACAAGAACTGGTCTCAATTTCTTCTAAAAACTGTAGTAGTTCCATTTCCGAGGTGAATTCGTGTGGAATATGTTTAATTGTGAACCCCAAATAATTACCCAGTTTTCAACCAAGTCTTGGTTGTAGATATGATCCATTCTGAAGTGTTGTATGGAAATATGGACCTTCAACAAGGTGGTTTGAGACATCTGCTATCTGTTTTTTTTTAACAAGGACACAACTTCCAATAAGTTACAGAATCTCGCTAGACAAATCGCTTGCCCGCCCTAGAAGAATACAAAAACATCTTCCCAGTTCGAAACAGTTACGAAAAAATGAGCAGTGTTCAAACTCCTTATATAAAGAAGTTCAACAAAAACTTTCTATTTTGCAAGATCAAAAACCTCTCTCCCCTGCTTGGAAGTACAAGTACCTCTAAGGTTCAAAATGATCACAAATTGAAGTTATTTTCATTCTGACTTTGCTCCAAACTTGCAAAAAAAAGGAAAAAAGGATGTTATAGAATTCCATTTTCTTTTCCAATTTGTTGGCTTACTGCCTTGTCTGATTGTTCTCTTATTACCCTTACAGGGTGCGATTATGGGACCGTTGATTACGACTGTCGTGATAGCTCTCAAGGATTTGTATGTGGAATTTGTTCTTGGTGAACAGAAGGGGAAGGAGGAGAAGGAAAAGGAAAAGTGCAACTAGACAGCAGTTATTTTTGTCTGTAAATTGGTCTTCTGACCAAGCTTATGGTTTCTGCAAACTCCCTCCATTCTTTTGTGATCCATTCCCACAGCTGCAAGTACTGCCCATTGAATTGTAAGAAATCTGTAAGTTATGTTTATTTATTATACTGGTTCTATGGTGTCTCTTTCTGTCTCCATTTTTTCACCTGTAAAATCAATTTGTTTATGAGAGAAATATATAAAAGTCAGATTATTATTTGTTGTATTACTTTCTCAGAGGCTTGTCATTGTATTCATGGTCTCGATCAGGTCAGGATGTAGTCGTCGTCTTTCCTGCCTCTTTTTTTGTCAATGAAACTGAATAAAGCATTCAAATTCTGGAAATGAGGCCAGAAAAAAACCTGTAAAGTTTGAAGGGAAGGTTTTTAGTCCATTCGTTCTGGCAGTTTGTGTAATTTGAATAGTTGAAAGATTAAATGTATAATGAAGCTGAAAGAATCAATATTTTGTATGGAGAGAGGTTTTCAGTCAAGTTGTCTTCCCCATCTCCATTTTCGCCATTTTAGAATGAGTTTGAGATAACTTTTAGAAGGGAAGAAGGTACTTTTTATCAACTTGTAACATTTTTTTAGTTTATCATGATGTTAAAACTTCTAAAAGAATTTTAATACTTCGATAGGAAAGTTGTTAGAGATAGTTGTTATAAGTAGAATGAGGGTGTAAGGATCAAGGTATCGGGGAGGGTTCAGGTATCTCGAATTACTTGATAGTTATTGTAGTTCTTATATCTTGTTATATTTCAATATATTTCTTGTTTTTTTAGTACACAATATATTTCTTGTTCGGGTTCTATCAATGTGCTTTAATTATAAGTAGTTTAGTAAGGTGCATTGTTTTGATGTTTAGTTATACATTTTATGAGCAGTCTAGTTAGCAAGGGCATGGAGTGTCTTGGTCATAATGGCTTAGAGGTCTCAAGTCCGAATCTTCTGGTAAGCTTAATACGGCAGTATAGGGGACGACTCTCCGTGCTTTTTTTTGTCTCAAGAGCACTTGGACATAAAGCATTATAGAAGCACTTTCTCACCAAATTTTTTTTAACCTGAACTCATTTAGTTTGTCTGTATTCAAGGGGCAGAGTTGTTTTAACTTAGAATCATGAAGACTGTGTTTAGGTACAGAGTTGTGTAGCTTGAAGTTGTATAAATTGGATATCGGCTAGTTAATTTTCTTTTAGTGCAGTTACCATTAGAGTTAGGACTGCTTTAAATAATTTTCTTTTAGTGCAGTTACCATTAGAGTTAGGACTGCTTTAAATTGGTAAAAGTGCGACGTCTGAGACTTTGCAACTTCTTAAAAACCAAGATAAACTAGTTAGGTAATCATAGTTACTAGAACTTAAGAGACTGAAATTAAACTTTAGGGACCGAATTAGAAATACGGGTAGATCTCAGCATCTACGACCATATTATAACCAAAGTTTTGTTATCAAAATAAAACTTTAAATGACAATCATAACATTTTCTTGTAAATTATAGTAGTAGATAACCATGAACCACCAACAACAACTAGCATTCTAGGCAAGTCTTTAACCAAACGCATCAAACTTACCACTGTGAATTATTATAGTACATTCAACTACTTCAATGAGTTGATCAATTTGTCACACGAGTTTTACCACACCTACCATCTTCCTATTTTATCTTAATTTTTATTCTCTTACTTTCTTTTCATTAATGTCAATGTCTCACTCGTCTCAGCTGGAGTGCAAGTATAGTTCTAACTGATTTAAACATGTATTCCAATCTAAAAGTCGGGGATTCGAATTTCCACGCCCATATGTTAAAAGAAAGATGAAAATGAATGTCAAAATAAAACTACAAATTTTCATGTCATCAAGTATTAAATTTTTAAATTTTCAATATGGAAATTATATTAATATTAATAATTTTTAACGTATTCGAAAGAAGTGAAATACTTATTTGTTAATTTAAATATTTGTTATGAATTTTTTTATTTTATATTATTTTTAGAAATATCCATCGAAATCAATGTTTTATTGATATTTTTATAAAATTGAGACCGCAACATTTTTATTGACATGGACATTTAAAACATAGGTATTCATCATGCACATCCTTGAACCTAATCGGCCAAACTCTAGATATATATAACTTCTGTTTATGCAAGAATGTGCACAAAGTCAAAATTGGTCAAGCTCGAATTCGGTCCTCGTTCCGACCTGAAACTCTAAGGGAAGACCTGCACAAGAAGGCAAAATTTCCGACGCTCAAGTCAGTAAGCAGCTCGGATTCAATATTAAGTTCGGGTTGCGACAGACGGTTACCCTGATCGGATTTGAGGTCGAACCTATCGGGTTTAAGCAAATTGAACCCAGACAGTTGATCTCAGGGATTGGTGATTTCAATAGTAGAAATGTTTATTAAGCCCTTCACTTCGGCAGGTTCCGAGGTGGAGCTGCATTGAAGTCCTATCAGGGCACATGCCCTTTAATGAATCACCATCCTCCACATGGCAACCAGGTTTTCATCCCCAAATGAAAAAATTTGCCCAATTTGGAACCATATACATTATATGAATTATATAATGGAATTTTAGTTTGTTATATCCCTAAGCATTTGAATCAGCTTACGCACACTTCGATTAATCTCATGACACAACCGTCTAACCCTGCAATATTTAGTATCGAAAAATACATAAAATTAATTCTTAAGATTAGTAGCCGTCATAAATTAACTATAATTAATAAGGTTAAGAAAACCATTGAAAAAGTAAGGAAAAACCAACTTTAATCCCTAAACTTTGCAAGGTTAATCAAACTGCCCTAAATTTTAATTTCATGAACTTGAACCTTATATTTAGATAAGTACGACAGTTTTTACCTCAGATAAACTTTCTCTCAAATTCGTTCACTGATTTTAACAAAAAGCAAGGTAAAAATCTCCCAAAACTCATTTAAATAAAGATCAAGTCTTGAAAATTAAGTTTTAAAAAGCAAGGTAAAAATCTCCCGAAACTTCAAGTCTTTGTAAGTTAAGTTCGAACAATTCACAAAATCAATCATTGAATAAACTGAAAATACCACTCAAGTTTTATATATCTTTCTCTAAAACTTGTTATGTTTTATAATTTTGGAACGAACATAATATATAATATATAATATGCATATATATAAATATATAAATAAATACATATATACAAGTAGTAACATTTATTCATGCTTTAGGTAAAGATTGCAACAATTATCAAGTTACTCCGTTCCAAATTCATTTTTGGAGTGCTTTTTGATTAATTTTGGACCTTAAGAAAAAGTTATTTATACTATTGCCCCACCGGAAGAAAAAGGGAGGAAATCTTCATGTTTATTGAAACTTCAAAGTAATTATTATAAATCATAATGTGTTTGAAAATTTAAACACAATGAGACATAAAAATAACATAGACAAAAGGTTGAAAATCGATCAAATCAGTTCACTTATAATGAACAAGACAAAGATGAGTTTGATCAATTTATTTTTGTGGTTAATTAGAAAAATGTCATATTCTTGATGGTTTTTTTTTT